ATCCAAAATGTGGCCCGGGAATGGAGTTCTGGGAAATCGAAGAGCACGAAGTGGGCACGAAGTGTGTGACTGTATGCGAAAAACGATCCCCGCCGGCAAACCGCGACAGCCCCCCAACTGCCACCCAACTGCCCCCAACGGCTGCCCAGACCCCCCTGTGGAGTAATGTTGAAGTAATGTTGAAGTGATGTGCTGCTCTCTTTTTAGCCCATTAGAAACCTATCAGTCTTCGATGTTAGGTAACTATTGGAGTTTCACCGAAGCAGGTATTAAGACTATGGAAGCTTCACGCAGGGAAAGAAGAAGAGCAAAACATGTCTTGACATGGCTTTGGAAGTGGGAAATCTAAACAATAATCAACCAATTAAGCATCGCACACCAATCGAACGACAAAGGCCGGCACCGTCGCCGTGCTGACCCGGAATAACTGAAAGAAATTGGCCTTGTAAGCACCCGGTCCGGACATATGGGGCACACGCACATCTGGCATCCTCATTACGAACTTCAACTCATCGTTCAAATCATCACTCAAACCGATGTAGTCGAACGACAACTTAGTACCGCTCGCATCTACCATAACTAAAGTGCGCTTGCGGCTCAAAGTGAGGGTTCTTGGATAGCGGGGATAGCATCTTCATGAATAGCTTTCGAAGCACCGTCTGATTTGAAAAGTCAGACTTCTGTTGTAAGGTCAAAGGTTTGTCTGCGAACCGCCTCGTCATGACTTCATGAAAGGAGGATGCGTTACGCTCCAATGGATCCCTGGCCAAAGCAGCCTTGAACCCATCATATCCAGAAAACTACTCTATCACTTGATGCTGGGTGAATTTTTCAGGTCCCAATGTTGTCATCTTCTTGCCACCGCGACCTCTGGCCGCCATGAGCGATGTCCCCCCACTTATATGAACTAAGGCAGAGCCATGCACCGACACGACAGTGCTCAGGGAGGATGTGTGGAAACCAGGCGCGCATGATCTAAATTTTTTGAGATGGGTCCTCTCACTCCAGGAGGTATCGAAGAAATTGTGTGATAGAGCCGTTGATGTGGTGGAAGTACCATTGGAAGACAAACATCGTTTCGTGGCACATGATACGCGCATGAGTGGAAGTTCCATGTGTGACTGGTACCCAGAGCAGGTGTCCCAACGTATAAACAACAGCGTACGTGTAAAGTACAGCGTCAGGACTGCTACACTTCTCGGCAGAATCGCAAGTGCGCAGACGCATCGCAGAGTCACCGCGGCGGCAATGACCATGGTTGCCTACACAGAGGCCCTCGCCACAAGGCCCAACAATACTTGAATCAAAATGGCTTGAGCCAAAATGGCTACGGAGGTGGGGTCTCTGGAACTGTTGTTTCATGTAGCCTTTCCCAGATGGCGGATGAGCAGGAACTGTCGTCTTGGTCGGCTTCGTCTTCCGACTCAAAACCACGGTCTTCATGCCGCTTGGAGGCTGGCGTGTGCGACGCAAATCGTTGGAACCTTCTCGGGACTAAATCGAAAGCCCTGAGGCTGAGGCAGCCGACGGACTGCGTGACAAATTTCCGCCTGACCTACCCGATCGCATAATACCTGTTGACGAAAGGCTGCTCCGTGGCGATGCTCCGATCTCGCTCCTCGAGGACGCTCCAGCCGATGCACCGCGTGACAGGCTGCGCGCCTGCTTGGGTCCGCCGCTCTGCGACTCGTTCCTTGGGGACGCTCCAGGCGTGACCCATATTATGTCCTCGGGCGTCCCCTGCTCGAGGTCATCTCGCGACACAGCCTCCAAGTCCTCTTCAGGCTTCCGTTGCCGGCGGATCCTTATGAAACATAACAATTGAATGCAACAGCACAAAACACATATCGCACCAACTATAATGCCCATGATCACAAAATCAATGCTCGCCGTTTTCTCCGTGTCGGCAATGAGGCCCACTGCGAATGGCGTTGCCGTCGTTGATGTCGTCTGGGTCACTGTGACAGTGAATGGGGTCGTGGTGCTGGTCATGGTGGCAGTGGTCGATATCGTTATGGTGCTGGACATCGTAGTGCTGGTAGACACAGTACTGGTGCTGGTCAACGTGGTGGTCAAGGTAGTGGTGCTGGTAGCAGTATGAGTGGACATGGTGCTGGTGCTGGTGATTGTGGCAGTTGTCATGGTGTTGGTGCTGGTCGCGGTAGCAGTGGTCAAGGTGGTCGTGGTGGCAGTGGTCAAGGTGGTGCTGCTGGTCGTGGTGGCAGTGGTCAAGGTGGTGATGCTGGTCGTGGCGGCAGTGGTCGAGCTAGTAATGCTGGTCCTGGAGGTGAAGGTAGTGGTGTACACTGTAGTAGTAGTAGTAGTAGTAGTAGTAGTAGTAGTAGTAGTAGTAGTAGTAGTAGTAGTGCCGCTGGTCAGTGTGTCAGTGGTCAAAGTGGTGGTGATGCTGGTCATGGTGGCACTTGTCAGGGTGGTGCTGGTCATCGTGGCAGTGGACACGGTGGTGCTGCTGGTCAGCGTGGTTGCAGTGCCAGTGGACATGGTGCTGCTCCCTGTTGTGCTGGTCTCAGTCATGCTGACAGTTGTCCTGGTTGCAGTAATCACCTTAATTTCTGGTGGTGTTACTTCGATCTCAGATCCCACTATCGCGAAGCCTTGCGAAAGGAAGACTGATTGAATTCCTGATCCGAAATCATAAGCAACAACGCTATCGTTAACAACCTGGCTTGTAAAATCGTATATGTTCTCCGCAGGAGCTTGAGGCGAGATGAACTCAACATCGACGTTATACTGCGGGCCAGAACCATCAACGACATACCTGGCCAGGGTCGCAGAAGCGGTGACAGTCACAATGACATTATCTTCATCAACTTTGAAATTACTCGCACAATGAAATGTTAACGCCCTTGTAATATTGTCAGCCGTCCCAATGCTTCGAAATGATATGGAACTGGAGACAACGTAAAGGGGTGTGGTGGTAGATGTAGGAGTGGTACTAGTGCCGGTCGCAGTGGTGCTGGTCGCAGTGGTGCTGGTTACTCTGGTACTGGTGGCACTCAAGCTGGTGGCGGTGCCAGTACTCTGGGAGGTACTGGTCCCAGTGTGAGTGGAAATGGTGGTAATGCTAGTCGCGCTGGTTGGTGCAAGAGTTGGTGCTGGGGTCGGTGCAAGTGTCGGTGCTGGCGACGGCGCTGGCGTTGGTGCCGGCGTGGGCGCTAGCGTAGGTGCTGGGGCCGGTGCTGGCGTCGGTACTGAGGTGGGCGCTAACGTAGGTGCTGGAGTTGGCTCCGGCGTGGGTGCTGGCGTAGGCGCCAGAGACGGTGCTGGCGTCGGCACAGGAGTGGGCGCCGGCGTTGGTGCAGGCGTGGGCGCTAGCGTAGGTGCTGGGGTCGGTGCTAGCGTCGGCGCTGGCGTTGGTGCTGGCGTCTGCGCGGGCGTGGGCGCGGGCGTTGGTGCGGGCGTGGGCGCCGGGGTCGGTGCCGGCGTCGGCGCGGGCGTAGGTGCAGGCGTGGGCGCCAGAGACGGCGCTGGCGTCGGCGCGGATGTGGGCGCCGGCGTTGGTGCGGGCGTGGGCGCCGGGGTCGGTGCTGGCGTCGGCGCGGGCGTAGGTGCAGGCGTTGGCGCGGGTGTTGGTGCAGGCGTCGGCGCGGGCGTTGGCGCCGGCGTTGGTGCTGGCGTAGGCGCTGGCGTAGGTGCTGGGGTCGGTGCTGGCGTCGGCGCTGGCGTGGGCGCGGGCGTTGGTGCGGGCGTGGGCGCCGGGGTCGGTGCTGGCGTCGGCGCGGGTGTGGGCGCCGGCGTTGGTGCGGGCGTGGGCGCCGGGGTCGGTGCTGGCGTCGGCGCGGGCGTAGGTGCAGGCGTTGGCGCGGGTGTTGGTGCCGGCGTCGGCGCGGGCGTGGAGGCGGGCGTTGGTGCTGGCGTAGGCGCGGGCGTAGGTGCTGGGGTCGGTGCTGGCGTCGGCGCGGGCGTGGGCGCGGGCGTTGGTGCGGGCGTGGGCGCCGGGGTCGGTGCTGGCGTCGGCGCGGGCGTAGGTGCAGGCGTTGGCGCGGGTGTTGGTGCTGGCGTCGGCGAGGGCGTGGGCGCGGGCGTTGGTGCTGGCGTCGGCGCTAGCGTAGGTGCTGGGGTCGGTGCTGGCGTTGGCGCGGGTGTTGGTGCCGGCGTCTGCGCGGGCGTGGGCGCAGGCGTTGGTGCTGGCGTAGGCGCTAGCGTTGGTGCTGGCGTAGGCGCGAGAGACGGTGCCGGCGTCGGCGCCGGCGTAGGCGCCGGCGTAGGCGCTGGCGTTGGAGCTGGCGGTAATGGCGTAGGCGCTGGCGTTGGTGCAGGCGTGGGCGCTAGCGTAGGTGCTGGCGTCGGCGCTGGCGTCGGCGCGGGCGTTGGTGCTGGCGCAGGCGCTGGGGTTGGTGCTGGCGTCGGCGCTGGCGTTGGAGCTGGCGTAGGTGGTATTGGCGTCGGCGCTGGCGTCGGCACTGGCGTTGGTCCAGGCGTGGGCGCTAGCGTAGGTGCTGGCGTCGGCGCTGGCGTCGGTGTGGGCGTTGGTGCTGGCGTAGGCGCTGGGGTTGGTGCCGGCGTAGGCGCTGGCGTTGGAGCTGGCGTAGGTGGTATTGGCGTCGGCGCCGGCGTCGGCGCTGGCGTTGGTCCAGGCGTGGGCGCTAGCGTAGGCGCTAGGGTTGGTGCCGGCGTAGGCGCTGGCGTTGGAGCTGGCGTAGGCGGTGCTGGCGTCGGCGCTGGCGTTGGTGCAGGCGTGGGCGCTAGCGTAGGTGCTGGGGTCGGTGCTGGCGTCGGCTCGGGCGTTGGTGCTGGCGTAGGCGCTGGGGTAGGCGCTGGCGTAGGCGCTGGCGTTGGAGCTGGCGTAGGCGGTGCTGGCGTCGGCGCTGGCGTTGGTGCAGGCGTGGGCGCTAGCGTAGGTGCTGGCGTCGGTGCTGGCGTCGGCGCGGGCGTTGGTGCTGGCGTAGGCGCTGGGGTTGGTGCAGGCGTCGGCGCTGGCGTTGGAGCTGGCGTAGGGGTTGCTGGCGTCGGCGCTGGCGTTGGTGCAGGCGTGGGCGCTAGCGTAGGTGCTGGCGTCGGCGCTGGCGTCGGCGCGGTTGTTGGTGCTGGCGTAGGCGCTGGGGTTGGTGCTGGCGTCGGCGCTGGCGTGGGCGCGGGCGTTGGTGCGGGCGTGGGCGCCGGGGTCGGTGCTGGCGTCGGCGCTGGCGTCGGCGCGGGCGTTGGTGCTGGCGTAGGCGCTGGGGTTGGTGCTGGCGTCGGCGCTGGCGTTGGAGCTGGCGTAGGCGGTATTGGCGTCGGCGCTGGCGTTGGTGCAGGCGTGGGCGCTAGCGTAGGTGCTGGCGTCGGCGCTGGGCTGCTGGGCGTCGGCGCCTGCGCCGCGCAGAACTGCCAGCCGGAGTCATTGACACTGAAGTCGGAGCTCCACGAGATGGTTGCTGTGACATCTTGCGAGCCCGAGAGCGCGCCGGAACCACTGTAATTATACCCGTTAAAAATCATGTAATCAAAATAAGACTCCGTGTCAAAGGTGGTCACCCCGATCTGCGCGGATGAAGCAGCGAGATAAATATAGCACGCATGCTCGTGGGAATATGCTAGCGGGTAGTTGGGGGAGGCTACGCACCCTTCGCTAGCCGTGCACGGGCCAGAAACATAAGACCACCAGCAGTCGGCGCTGGTGTCGGCGCTGGCGTTGGTGCAGGCGTGGGCGCTAGCGTAGGTGCTGGCGTCGGCGCTGGCGTCGGCGCGGGCGTTGGTGCTGGCGGCGCTGGGGTTGGTGCTGGCGGCGCTAGCTGGCGCTGGGGCGCTGGCGTTGGTGCTGGCGCTAGCGTAGGTGCTGGCGTCGGCGCTGGCGTCGGCGCGGGCGTTGGTGCTGGCGTAGGCGCTGGGGTTGGTGCTGGCGTCGGCGCTGGCGTTGGAGCTGGCGTAGGCGGTATTGGCGTCGGCACTGGCGTTGGTCCAGGCGTGGGCGCTAGCGTAGGTGCTGGTGTCGGCGCTGGCGTCGGCGCGGGCGTTGGTGCTGGCGTAGGCGCTGGGGGTTGGTGCCGGCGTAGGCGCTGGCGTTGGAGCTGGCGTAATTAGGTGGTATTGGCGTCGGCGCCAGTGTCGGCGCTGGCGTTGGTCCAGGCGTGGGCGCTAGCGCAGGCGCCAGGGTTGGTGCCGGCGTAGGCGCTGGCGTTGGAGCTGGCGTAGGCGGTGCTGGCGTCGGCGCTGGCGTTGGTGCAGGCGTGGGCGCTAGCGTAGGTGCTAGGGTCGGTGCTGGCGTCGGCGCGGGCGTTGGTGCTGGCATAGCGCTGGGGTAGGCCCTGGCGTCGCGCTGGCGTGGGCTGGCGTAGGCGTTGCTGGCGTCGTCGCTGGCGTTGGTCAGCGTGGCGCTAGCGTAGGTGCGGCGTCGGTGCTGGCGTCGGCGCGGGCGTTGTGCTGGCGTAGGCGCTGGGTTGGTGCAGGCTCGCGCAGGCGTTGGAGCTGTCGGAGGGGTTGCTGGCGTCGGCGCTGGCGTTGGTGCAGGCGTGGCGCTAGCGTAGGTGCTGCGTCGGCGCTGGCTCGGCGCGTTGTTGGTCTGCGTAGGCGCTGCTGGTCGCGCTGGTGTCGGCGCTGCGTTGGTGCGGCGTGGGCGCTAGCGTAGGTGCTGGCGTCGGCCTGCGTCGGCGCGGTCGTTGGTGCTGGGCGTAGGCGCTGGGGTTGGTGCTGGCGTCGCGCTGGCGTTGGAGGTGGCGTAGGCGGTATTGGCGTCGGCGCTGGCGTTGGTGCAGGCGTGGGCGGCTAGCGTAGGTGCTGGCGTCGGCGCTGGGCTGCTGGGCGTCGGCGCCTGCGCCGCGCAGAACTGCCAGCCGGAGTCATTGACACTGAAGTCGGAGCTCCACGAGATGGTTGCTGTGACAACTTGCGAGCCCGAGAGCGCGCTGGAACCACTGTAATTATACCCGTTAAAAATCATGTTAATCAAAATACGACTCCGTGTCAAAGGTGGTCACCTCGATCTGCGCGGATGAAGCAGCGAGATAAATATAGCACGCATGCTCGTGGGAATATGCTAGCGGGTAGTTGGGGGAGGCTACGCACCCTTCGCTAGCCGTGCACGGGCCAGAAACATAAGACACCAGCAGTCGGCGCTGGTGTCGGCGCTGGCGTTGGTGCAGGCGTGGGCGCTAGCGTAGGTGCTGGCGTCGGCGCTGGCGTCGGCGCGGGCGTTGGTGCTGGCGTAGGCGCTGGGGTTGGTGCTGGCGTCGGCGCTGGCGTTGGAGCTGGCGTAGGCGGTATTGGCGTCGGCGCTGGCGTTGGTGCAGGCGTGGGCGCTAGCGTAGGTGCTGGCGTCGGCGCTGGGCTGCTGGGCGTCGGCGCCTGCGCCGCGCAGAACTGCCAGCCGGAGTCATTGACACTGAAGTCGGAGCTCCACGAGATGGTTGCTGTGACAACTTGCGAGCCCGAGAGCGCGCCGGAACCACTGTAAGAATACCCGGTAAAAATCATGTAATCAAAATAAGACTCCGTGTCAAAGGTGGTCACCCCGATCTGTGCGGATGAAGCAGCGAGATAAATATAGCACGCATGTTCGTGGGAATATGCTAGCGGGTAGTTGGGGGAGGCTACGCACCCTTCGCTAGCCGTGCACGGGCCAGAAACATGAGACCACCACTCGCCTCCAGCAGTCGGAGCCGTCGGCGCTGGCGTCGGCGCTGGCGTCGGTGGTGGCGCTGGTATCGGTGCCTCAAATGTTCCCGCGTCGGTGGTGGTCACATCATCGCCAGGTTACGCAGTTGGGGCTCCAGTGGTTTCCACCTCCACCTCAAAGATCTCCACGTCAGTGGTTGTCACCACCTCTTCTGGTAACATAGTAGGGACCCCAGTGGTCTTCACCTCCATGGAGCCCTCCTCGGTCACTGTCGCAGTGGCCACCTCAAGCGCTTCCTCGTCACTGGTGGTCACATCCTCGCCAGGTGTTGCAGTGGGGGCTCCAGTGGTTTCCACCTCCACCTCAAAGGTCTCCACGTCGGTGGTTGTCACCACCTCTTCTGGAAACATAGTGGGGTCCCCAGTGGCCGTCACCTCCATGGAGCCCTCCTCGGTTACTGTCGCAGTGGCCACCTCAAACTCCCGCGTCGGTGGTGGTCACATCATCGCCAGGTGACGCAGTTGGGGCTCCAGTGGTTTCCACCTCCACCTCGAAGGTCTCCACGTCAGTGGTTGTCACCACCTTCAGCACCGCCCACGCGACGAGCAACCGAGCGCGCGCCATGGGGCGCGCTCCGCCGGGGGCGGCAGCCGCCTCCCCCGCGCTCGCGGGGGTATGCGAGGGTCGCTCGCTCGCGCTCTCTGTGCAGGGCCGGCCGGCGTGTTCCGCGGGGAGCCTCGGGGCGCCCTGGGGCGCCCTGAGCCAAAATGGCTACGGAATCTATGATGTGGGCTTTTTGAAGCCCTTTTGGGAGTGCTCTTGGGGGCCCCCTGGGCAGTGTTGGAAGCCTTGTGGGCCATCCGGAGGCCATCTTGGGCGTGTTAGGACGATATTTCCGAGACTGCACGCCTCTTGGAAGCCCCTTGCAGCCCTCTTCGTCTGTGCTGGGGCTGTCTTGGGCCGTCTGGGGGCGTCCTTGGCGGCCCGGTCCCGCCATGGAGCGTCAAGGGCCCCCTCCCGGGCACCTCCGCCTGAAGCCAGGAGGAAATTAATGATTCTTGCTTCTGGGAGCCCTGTTGGGAGCGCTCTTGAGGACCCCGTGGGCCGTGTTGAACCTTTGTGGGCCATCTGGAGGCCGTCTTGGGCGTGTTAAGGCGATATTTCCGCGACTGTGGGCCTCTTGGAGGCCTCTTGGGGTTTTCTTGGGCCGTCTGGCAGCGGCCCTGGGCCGTCTCGGCGCCCCGGGGGAAGCCTGTTTGGACGATTTTCTGGTGTCCTGGACCGTCTTGGAGCGTCGGGAAGCAGAAAAGGCAGAAAGGCTAAAATGCACCAAGAACCTTAGGAAAATCAATGATTTTGGGTTCTTGGGGCCCCTTTTGGGGATGCTCTTGGGGACCCCTTGGGCCGTGTTGGAAGCCTTTTTGGGCCATCCGGAAACCATCTTGGGCGTGTTAGGACGAGAGTTTGGTGACCGCAACTCTCTTGGAGGTCTCTCGCGGCCCTTTTCATCTGTGTTGGGGCTGTCTTGGGCCGTCTGGGGGCGTCCCCGGGCCGTCTCGGCGCCCTCGTGCGGGCCTGTTGGGGCGATTTCTGGGTGTCCTGGACCGTCTTGGAGCGTCGGGAAGCCGAACATGCAGAAACGCCAAAGTGCACCAAAAACCAAGAAAATACAATGACTTTGGTTTCGTGGGGCTGTTTTTGGGAATGCTCTTGGGGGGCCCTTGGCCGTGTTGGAAGCCTGGTGGGCCATCCGGAGGCCATCTTGTCCTCTTCGGCTCCCCTGGCGTCGGGCGCGTCCCTCTGCAGGGGGGTATATTCAAACACGGTTTAAGCAATAGTCTGTGGACGATGTTATTTTAGTATTTTTTTTGAGTATTGGGCGTGTTCAGACGATGTTTCCGCGACTGTAGGCCTCTTGCAGGTCTCGCGGCACTTTTCGGGTGTGTTGGGGCGGTGCTGGGCCGAGATCGGCACCGGGTGAGTTAGGCACTGGGTGAGTTCGGCGCGCATGTGGTGAATGAGGCGCTGGGGGATTCCTGCATCGGATGAGTTAGTCACCGCATGAGTTAGTCATCGGATGAGTTAAGCACCGGAGGAGTTAGTCAGCGGAAGAGCTAAGCACCAGATGTGTTAAGCACTGGATGAGTTAGTCACCCGATGAATTATAGTCACCAGTTCATGCAAGCACGGGATGAGTCAAGCACTGGGTGAACTTGACATCGAGTGAGTTGGGGTCCAGGTGAATTAGGCATTAACCGGGTGAGTTAGTCCTGGGATGAGGTCGGAACCGAGTGATTTGGCACCAAATGAATCTGGAACCCGATGAGTTAGTCACCGGACGAATTTAACTGGTTGAATTCGGTACCGGATAAATTCACCCGGATGAGTTAGGCAACGGATGAATCACACCAGATGAGTCAGGCGCGGATTAATTATAGGCATCGGACGAGTTAGGCCGGATGACTCGGACCAACGACACCATCCCGGGACCGCCCCCCCTGCGGGGAAGGGATCAAGTGTCTTCCATTCGACTCGATTGGTGCTCCCACTCTTGCGGCTGTGTGGGGCTCCCTCGGGGCATCTTGGTCAGACGGGGGGGGGGGTCACGACCCCCAGGATCCCCCCCCCACAGGGTGGAGGGGGGCAGGGGGCTGGCGACCCCCCCCCTGGGCCCTTCCCCTGGGACGCGCTGCGACCCCCCCCCTTCCGGCGCGGGGAAGGGGTCCAGAGGGGAGAGGCTTCCCCCTCTGACTCGACTGCGACGTTTTGCTCGATTCTCGTTTGGCTGGGTGGCTTGAGGAGCAGGGCCCAGGGAAGAGGAGGAGGAGGAGCAGGAGCAGGAGGAGCAGCAGGAGGAGCAAGAGGAGCAAGGGTAGGAGCGAGCGAGCGAGGCTACGGCGACTCGAACGGAAAAATGCTTCGCACGCGCCAGCAGGCCTGGCGGATTTGTTTACCCCCTTTCGCCGATTCCACAGCCTCTGCCTTCTGCTCCCTCTCTGGAGCGAGCGTCCGTCGGTAGCGAGCGACTACTGGTCGGAGCGTTCAGCGGAGTGCCAGATGCACTACGTCGGCGGGGGAGAGTTAGCTAGCTCGCCCGCCTCCCAGCGGTACGGAAGGCGGGCCACGCCTTCCTCCTCTTGTGCGTAGCACATCTCCCTCTCTGGATCGCGCGCTGTTTTTGGGGGTCGCCGGGGGGGGGGGGTGAGGCCAGCTGGCACGGCAAGCTCAAGAGGGCGAGCGGCGCCTCGCACAAATTGTGCCCCAAATAAGCGTTCCTTATATAATAGATGTAGATGTAGATGTAGATGCAGATGCAGATGAAAGGGCAGATGCAC